TCTCTGCCATACTTTGACCAAAGGAGCTGACTTTTTACCGCTCATAGAAAAATGTTCATAGCTTCTATTAATAAGAGAGACGTCGATAAACGTTGTGCTGAAGTACTATACTTGCTTCAAATAAAGAAATGAAAACTTTCACGAATTATGAGAAAGCAATATTCATATTGCTGCGAATGACTTAAGACAGATAGAAGCGCAAACAAAACTTTTTCGATGAGATGAAATGAGAAAACTTCCAGTGTAATTCGTAAAAGAATAAAAAAGTGAAAGACTATGTATCCGTTTTACTGCCAACGAGGGAAGATCCGTGGGTGCTTCTCTAGGATTTCAACGAAATCTATGTGGGTTTGTGAAGTCAAATGTTGACATCTCAAATTATAGAAACATTAGCGATTGAGAATGATCCATTAAAAAATTTGCAGTAAAAATATTTTTTGCTTAGGACCCTGAGGAAAAGACCACAGGTGACTTTTTTTTGATGAAAAATGAAGTTCGCCAAAAAAACGTTGAAACAGTCATAGGTCGACTCAGTTTTAAGTGCTGATTCGAAATATATGACTAGTTTTGCTGCATGTTGTATTTTTCTAACCGAAGTCTTCTGAGCAATAGTCAAAATGTTACAGAATCAAATCTGAAGAATAGTCTGCTAGAAAATTTTTAGGCGACCATTTTTCGGAATTTAGAAAAGCATGCGATTGTATAGCGTTTTTCAAAGTGGTATCGATTGATATATTAAGATTTAATTACATTAGCTGACTGAAAGTTGTGATTTTCTACTGGTTAACTAGATAACTCGCGAAACAGAATTTTTAGCTCGTCTGCTACTCCCTACCAATAAAATAACAAATACAAGATACCAATAATCTTTCTTTCGATAAACTTGTTCCTAAACGAATCAATCTAGAGTCCAATGTTCTATTGGATGACACCATTCCAGAACAAGAGTGATATCATTGTGATATAATATCAGCAAGATATCCCACAATTTCGACGACTATAAGCTAAGAGTACACTCTAAAAAAAATAGGTATCCTCGAAAACCCATAATGTCCACCATCTCAAAATCTCAAATACTTATTCGGAAACCCAAAAAAAGTTTTCCGAATGGAGAAAAGCTCTACCCAACTAGACTAGACAGGAAGCCATTACTACTCTATCAGCACCAACAAGCATTCGAAGCGGTTCCAGACATTCTATTAGGCTCTGTGGTGAACCTATCCGTACTCAAAAGTAAGTAAAATAACGGTCAAATGTCGGCTGCACACGCGATTCAGGGAAAAACTTTCATTTATCCAGGCATTATTCGTCGCACAATCACCAGATCATCAGGAGGCTAAGCATTACCACCTTTTCACCTGAAACACTAGGAGAAAAACTTATTTTTGCTTGTAAAATCATCTGGTCTCACCAGCTTTCTTCACGTCCTGATCCATCAAAACTAATTAGCACCCATTGCGACGTAATACACAATTCAACCATAATAGTCACCAAACCAATTTCATAGTTCAATAAACGTTTCCCTGCAATTCTCTTCTAAAAGTAAAAATAGATTACATTTTAATTTAAAGAATAGATTGAAACTTACCCGATATATCGATACAAATCGAATCTTAAAAATAGAAAACAAAATTTCATTTTATATCTAATAAACTGATTCAAACTCACTAGATATATTCATAAATAAAGCGAAATCTAAAAATATAGGTTGAATTTCATTTGGATTTAGTAATTCGAATATACTCAACAAATATATTGAGTTATAAAACCAATCTGAAAATAAAAATGAAATTTCATTTTCGTTCAATAATTGGTATAAACTCACCAGATATATTGAGATATAAAACAAATCTAAAGATAAAAATGAATTGTATTTTAATTTAATAATTGGAATTAAGTCACCGGATATATTGATGTATATATATGAATCGAATCTCAAAATAAAAATGAAAGATTGTATTTTTATTTAATGAAATGAACTAAGTCACGTTTGTTTTGATATTCATAACAAATCAATAAATAAAAATAAAAATATATTTTAGTGTAATATTTTGAATAAACTCATGGAATATGTGAATATATAAAAAGATGTTTAAAAGTGAAAGAGAAAATGTGTTATAATTCAGTTGATTAAAACTCACTGAATTCTAGGTCTAGGGTCATATTATGATCGAAAAAGAAGAATTGGAATAGTAGTTTACTCATGACGATATTTTACAAAGAAGAAATTTTTAGAGAAAAAAAATAATAATTTTATTTGTAATGAATAATCCAGTGATCAGTGATCCATTGATGCACCGAATTTATCCTATTAAATTCTAATTGAAAACAATTTTTGTATGGTCATCTTCTTTCAGTAGTATATTGTTGCGTATTAAAAAAGCGAAATATGAAGAAAAAGTAAGACTTTCATGCTGATTGTCTAATTTATTTATTTTGTCCCCGATTTGTTAACATCATATCTTTTTTTATATTCTCAAAAATTAGAACAACAGTAAAATGCACAACTAACATTCAATTATTTTGAAAGTACGATGTGGTTTCACATATCGTAGAAAGATTCATTCAGGAATAATTTTGAATAGTTCAATAAGAAATACTAATTACATTGGTATTTTTCTCTTTAATAAAAATCTTCGAAGCTGAGCACGAGAAAGAATATCGCTAAAAAGCTTCAATTCCAATTTTTTTTGTCAAGTTTTCGATGTCAATCACGAAGTTGATGAAAATTTAAGAAATGTTTAAATCCTCGGGAATCCTTTTCAATGTTCAATCGAAATTCGGAAACCTATTTTAGTTCATTGTGACACCATTTCCAACTTGGGTATTTTCGTAAATCCATTTTGGCTTCATATGATACTCTTGTCAGATTGGATTTTTTCGGAAACCGTTCAGAAAATGAAAAGGTATTTTCGCATACCCTTTCGAGAACCAGCTCAGTTTTTCTACTAATATGAGTTTTCGACAATACCTTTCTGGTTTCCGATAGCAAGAAAAAGGTATTCCAGAATACTTTTAGAGTGTCCAATTGGGGACTGTAGGAAACCTTTGGGTTTCCGAACGTTGGGAAACCGAAAGGGTACTTTTAGAAACGCTTTCACTGTTCGGAAACCCTCTCGGAAATGGAAAAGGGTTTCTGAGTAGGTTTCCGAATCCCTTTCGGTTTTCTAGGATACGGAAATTTTTTAGAGTGTAGTATGATCAGTCGTTATTACCTTACAAATTTTCGCATGGATTTGAAGATACTACCAGGTGACACAGCGTAACGTTCTACATTGAAACAACTATTTATTTTAATAATTCAAGAATGTAACAATTTGAACATTTACGCGCCTCCATCCTTTTTTAGTTTAGCAATAAGAGTGTTGATTCGATCTGAATGTGATCAGTATTAAAAAACTTACAATACCAAGCGTTTTGATATAAGTTCTGAACCGTTCTATAGCGAACCAATAGCTCTGAAAACTGCTTGATTCTATCTCGTTGTTCTACCCTAAATAATTGAAGAGAAAGAAAATATCTCTTGACTACATGATATTCACACAGAGGCATACCATTTTTACGAAGATATTCTTTTCTGCTGTATAAAATCTGCTTACCAGTGGACAAAACATTTACGTACGGGATGAAAAAGGGAATTTAAAGAAAGACATGATTTTTCGTTTAAGCAGCTACGAAGAAAAAACTTTTTTTCTGGTTATGATAAAAATGATATTTTACAGATGCTCATTATCAATGATAAAAAGCAACATTGAAGCAAAGGGAACGACCACAATCACAGCAGCAAAAATAAAACAAGAAGTGTTGCACATTGACGCTGAATAATAATCCTCACCAAAATAAAAACATGCATCATGTACTTTATAAAAAATGGTCAGAATCTGTTCGATAAATAGTCCCTTAATGTCAACTATATTTGAACACAGCTGAAAATTCTGTTCGACTAGTTATCTAGTCAACCAGTAGAAAATCACAACTTTGAGTCAGCTCATATAAATCTTAATATATCAATCGATATCACTTTAAAAAACGCTATATAATCGCATGCTTTTCTAGATTCTGAAAAAAGTGGTCGCCTAAAAATTTTCTAGCAGCCTTTTCTTCAGATTTGATTTTGTAACATTTTGACTATTGCTCAGAAGATTTCGGTTACAAAAAATACAACATGCAGCAAAACTAGTCATATATTTGAAATCAGCACTTACAACTGACGTGAGTCGATCTATGAATGTTTCAACTTTTTTTTGGTGAACTTAATTTTTCATCAAAAACAACTCACCTACCATCTTTTTCTCAGGATCCTAAGGAAAAAATATTTTTACTGCAAATTCTTTCATAGATCATTCTCAATCGCTAATGTTTCTATATTTGAGATGCCAACGTTTGACTTCACAGACCCACATAGATTTCGTTGAAATCCCAGAGAAGCATCCAGGGACCTTCCATCGTTAGATTTGTACTCATAAATTCATCCTTATGCCTATATGCGTAAACGTATACCACACGATGTTTACATTTACAGTTTTATCCTTCTATCTATCCCGTTACAGATACCCTCTTATGATTACATCATTATGCCTATTCATTTACACCAGAGTTGGAATCGGTTCGACCGGACCGGACACGAAGTTAAATCCAGCCTGACAATATTGAAGTTTTTGCTGGTTCATTTTTACAAAATTGTTGTTTGCACTGGAAAACTTTCTCTACCAAAAAAGGCATATTTATGATATTTTCAAGTGGGAAAAATGTATCGAATGCTACTAGTAAGTCGAAATATGAAGAAAGAGGACACGCCACAGTAACACTCGTTCAAATAAGGGCATATGCCGTACTTTGATCTTAATAACAGTTACTTTTGATCGTAATGAGATAGCAGTATTAGTTAGAGAAGGATAAAGTAAAAGAATGAAGAAGAAAAAGAAAATCACAGGCTCCTCCTAGACTTTCTTTACACTCTTCGTTCAATTAGTTATTACTGATTTGTAGTTATTAAAAAATTATGTTNCATATTGACACATGGAACCAAATCTTGGTAATGTACAATTATAAAAGATTTTTTTTGATAACACTAAATCATCTGATATTGATAATTGATTTAAATAGAATTGATAATCTTCAATAATATCTATTGGTGTTGACCAAAGATATAATTGTTGACTTGTTATATTTTGTTTTGAAAGTTGATCAAAAGTAAATTTTGGAAAAACATCATTTTTTTCTATGTGAAATTTCGATGGTAATTCACTCATACAATAAAATATTATTTCATGACTGACATTTTCTTCTTGATTTAAAACATCAATACGCAAACAATCGTGCTGTAATACATCATTATTTTCATTTTCATTTACCCAACCTGTATTATGAAGATTGATTTGAGGTATAGCAATAATCAAATGTAAAAAAATAAAATAGAATAGATATTTCATATGAAACGTCTTATATGTGTCATACAATAAAAAAAATGAATTCAGTATCGGTTATTTATACATTGCGTATTTTTTTTTCTTTTTTATAAAAGCAAACTCGTTTGTTCCTGTTCGGAAAGTAGAATCTCTAGTTGTTGATGTCAATTTGAATTATTATAACAGATGATGGTGCCAAGTCGGCATTAAGGAACTCCTTTCTCTGACACAAATCCGAGTAAATATCTGAGTTTTAACGTAGGAAGTCCTGAAAAAAATTTCTGAACAAATGTCACTGTATATTTCATCAACTAAAACATATGTAGACAAAATTGAGTAAATCTATTAAGAATCTATTTTGAAAAACTTTTCTAATTCTGTGCAAATAGTGCGTAAAAACTTTTTATTTTTGATTAATAAGCAAATGTTCGAAGAATATTAAAATATGTTGTGAAAAAAACAATTTAAATTTTTGAGATGTATCGTGTGGGTGTGTAGGCGTGAGTGTATGTCTTTTCTTAACCCACACCACACCTCGAAACGTACCTATTTCGAGTATGACATTTTTTTCACACTATTTAACTAAGAAGAAAGATCTTGCATACTTTTGGATAGCTTATCAAAACACTTTGTCACCTAAGACATAAATTATATTCCTTTAACAATCGTTAAACATGAACTTATTTTATGTAAACTTTCTCCTCTATGTATAATTATGATAGATCATTTCAAAAAACTGATATTTTTTTCTCAATATTCATCGAACTCAATACCTATGCGATTTTACGAACAGATAGAGTTATATAATCTGTCAAACGGCGATGTTACAGTGACAGAACGAAAACATTTGCTCTTCGCGGGATTGAAAGCACGCACCTTCTGCTATCTGGGCAGATGTCCTAAGCTAGTTAGACTAGAAGAGACAACACTCTCTTTGCATCTTAGATCATCATCTTCATATGCATAATCGAACATATTGTTTCCATGGTGAATTCAACCAGTTTTTAACACCAAAAATGTATGTTGATGAACCACATCTCTAGCAACATTTTTTTCTAAGTTTTTCGTTTTGATTCATAAATTTAAGACATATGAATCTAAAGATATTCTATATTCTTTCAATATTATAATACGAATAAATTCTATCTAATCTTCTCATATTTAATATTTCACTTTTTTTTCTTAAAACATTGATAACTGTAACAATAAATCACTAATTGTTACCTTATATTACTAAAAGTATTCCTACATAAAGAAGAAAATAATCAATCAGAAAAATGGTTTCTTCCTTTGCTTATTCGTTAAAAGAAAATCTAATTTTTCTTGTTTTTATATTTAAATGCATAAAGGTATTTGTAATGTTTGAATTTTCGAAAAGAAATAGTTGATGCTTAGATAGATTAGTTATATTACAGCTCACTCTTTTTCATGTTTAACAAAGTAAGCTAGTGGAAAAAAGTTTCGAATAGTACATATTGATTCATAAGATGGCTTCGATATTCTTAATGTTCCTACCCTAGAGCAATTGTCTCTTGCTTGTTGTTGACTTTGAGAGATTATTGTGAACAATATATCCTTGTTAATAGCGAGTTCGATTAGAGAAGGAAGATGAATTTGACAAATTAATTGTTCAGCATAATCGATATAAATATCGTATAAAATAAGTACAGCTAAATGAGGAAAATCAATGTTAGTTTTCATCACTGATACGCTTTTTTCTTGTTGTTCCAGTTGATTGATTATCTCAAGTGTTCGAAGTCGAGGTAGAGCTCAAGCCAGACATTCAAAGAAAATAGTTTTGAATGATTTAACATCATCAAATAGTAATAAAATAGTAACATTTGAGAATGTATTATTAATATCAAAGAGTGGAAATAGATTTGACATCAAGACGAGTACCAATAAATGAAAGTGATAGATTTGACATTGTCCATATTTATTCTTAAAATGATCGAGTACAGAAGGGTGTGGGTGTGGGTGTAGGGAAAGGTAGAACCCACACCACGCCGACACCCACACACCACCCACCCACACCCACACCCACACCCTTTTTTAAAATATGTTGCGACAGTAATAGAACGATTGTGTTAACATTTTTCGCCCAACACCGTTACGGAGTATGGGTGGGTTTGAGTGTGGGGCGTGGTGTGGGGATGAGGTGTAGATGTTGGTGTGTGTATGAGTGGGTGGGTGTGATTGTTCTTATTTGTCACACCCGTACCTACACACACACACATTCCCACACCCACACCCTATTTTATTCGGCAATCTTCTATCAAAAGACCAGCAGTCAAGAAACGTTTCGAACAAGAGTACAGTCAGAGATCGAAACGAATAAGAAAAACTTCATTCTTATTCGATTCGAATTCTTATAGAAAAACAAATCTTATTGTTTTCAAACATGTTACTTACTACTAATGTTCAACTATTCTTTTCTGAGTAAGCTGCTTATTTTTCTCTGTTCCGGTTTTACTGAGTTTTTCTATATTTGATTTATTCATGCATAGTCAAAGATCATTTTGTACTTTAAAACAAAAAGGATTTACAATAGAAACTGCGTTTTGATAGATTAAAATTACTCGTAAAAATTTGATATTAAAGATCCAGAGTGTCATGATATAATCGATAGTTGAAAGATCTGGATTTCAAGCATTAAATGCATCCACGAAAATCTTTATAAGAATGGCGTGGATATGGGGTGTGAGTGTCGATCTCGTCAGTAGCAACACGCATGCCCACACACATCCACCCACACCCTGCATCAAAATCTTTGTTTCTTTAACTGTTCATAATAAACTTCTCCTAACATGTGAAACTTCATTTGAAAAAATTCTGGTTATAATGAAATTTTCACATTCATTTCATTTAGTGTTACTCCTGTCAGTAAATTTCGTAATGAAAGTCGTATGATGAATGATCCATATCTATTGGCTAGTAGGAGAACTATTTTATTTGATAAAACAAAGAATGATAACAATATGCCCTGGATTCTTTTTTCTTTTTCCTCTTTCCTCTCTTTTTCTTTTCTATTCATTTATGTGCTTTGGTAGTTAGTCAATTATATCAAATATTTCGTCGATCGTGATAAGCACCATATCTCAAAGAATACTGCTGATATAAAAATACAAGTATTTGGTTGTTTTTTGTTTTTTTCAGAAATGCCTGAAAAAGGTTCATGTACTGATATAACATGTGATAATGAAATCAAAGAATTATATGAATGTCATTGTTGTTTACGTTTTGTTTGTTTATATCATTTGAATGAACATGTTGAAATAACAAAACAAAATACACGACGATTAGATAATCTTCGTAGTGAATTACATACAGTTATAAATACACTTAAACTAATTCCTGGAGAAAAACTATTGATTATTGAACGCGAACAAAATTTGATTGAACAAGCAAAAAACATTCTTGATGTACCCAGTAGTTCAATTGATGAACTACAAAATATTTTCGAACAAATTAATCAAACAATAGCATCAAATCGTTCAGGTAAAAACTAAATCAGATAATCGGTTTTTTTTTGTATATTTTTCTTTTCTTTTTTTATTAAAGTAGAAATCACGGTGAAAGTCGAACCTTCATTATCAGAAACTAAATATTGTTCTTGTGTTTGCAAATGCAATAAGGAAAACATGAATTCAAATGGTAAGATGAAATTTTTCTCTAATTGTTTGTTCTTTTCATTGTATTTATTCTTGTTTGTTTCCATCGAACCATAGATACTGGTGTCTAACGAAGGAGATAGCCGAACCTATTAATCACCATTTGAACTTATATTGACATCAGAAAATTTTCTTAATAAAAGTAGTTATAGCTAATGAGTCAAGTTATGACTGTTCTACTGAATTTTCGATCTGTAAGTGTGCATTGACATAAGTCTGATGACCCTCGGAATAGTCGAAAAGTTTTAGCTGAAAAAAAAGCGCATTTATCGAGATATTATATTTCCAAGTAAATTTAATTTTGACCAGTACCCATTTATTACAAATTTAATATCTCAATGAATGAACATCTTTTTTTTCTCTGCAGATTTCAGGTTCATCATTAAATCGATCCATGGACGAAATTCGGTTAATTTATTTTTGAATAAATACTGAAAGATGAGTCGAAAATTTACTAAATCGACTCATGGACACGATCCTTTTCAAGCCTTTTTCTACTCTTAGCGAGTCATGTAGTTCCCTCGTCGGATAATAAAAGCCTTCAAAATATAAGCTTTTTTTTATGTTTAGATGTAGCAGAAGAATTGGGAATCTCAAAAGGTAAGTTAAATTTTCTTTAACTTTAAAAAGCAAAACAAACATGATTGGTTTCAGATGATGAATATTCAATGGATATCAACCATGATTTTATTGATACTGTTTCATTTGAGTAAGTTTCTTTTTTATTAGAAAAGATTCAAAATCGATTGCATATTTTTTCTGTTTTAGTGAATCAACGAAATCTATTCAGGTAAAAATAATTATATAGATAGAAGCAGGGCTGGGCGAGTCCAAATCATGACTCCGACTCGAAAATTGGGCAACGTTGACTCTTTTATAAAATTTAATTCTCACTTATTCAGTGCTTTCCCCTTATCGAACGCATAACAGCCGAAGAACTTTGTCAAGAGCTTGTGCGACCCATGTATTCACATGGTCTAAGCTTATTATTGAGTATGTGTTTTTTCTTGTTGCTTTGTTTCGGCTTATCTTTGGAGGATGCACAAATGTATATGACAAAATAAGTTAAACCTTAGCATTGTATCATGCGTCAGGTACTTTGTCATGCTATAATATAATCGTTGAGTGATAGTATTTTTGATTACCAAACTTTTCCGTTATACATTTCACATTATTTTCTTCTTAATAAAGAATGCGGATGTGAGATCTTCCTCGCATCCACAGCTCGCGCCCACACATGCAAAAATAATATTTTCTCACTGCGGTGTCGAACTGTGTAAAACCGGAGAGTTTATTTTACTATTATTATTTTGTTGATTAATCTAGAGTGGTTGTTTCGTTTTATTTCATGTGTGAATTCTCTTATTCTTGTTTCTGTACATAAAAACTAGGAACTAAATATCGTGTAATGAAAACTTGTTGCAAACATGTTTTTAGTAAAATAAATAGAATAGGAAAAATACCAAAACAACTTGACTCGAGAAATGGCTAGATTCGCCCAGCCTTGGGTGGAAGGGTTAATAAAGTCAATTTTTGAATTGAAATATATCAAATATTGCCATATCGTATCTAATTACTCATTGAGCATAGCAGTATAACCTTATTTGTTCTTATCGAACGTTGTTAAAAAAGAAACAATAATAAACAAGTTCTAAATAGCGTCACTATATAAATACAAAACCAAGTCTCAAGAAGATCCGAGTCGAGAGATAGAATTTTAGTGAGATTCAACAGTTTTTTTTCTGTTACCGTAGAAAAACGAGATTTTCTACAAATTGGGGTAGTTGCATTTATTTCTCCTTGCAGCTTTGTAGTCGGAATAATTGTGTATATATTCTATCTATCCAGATTTGTCTAAGGTTTTGACATTTGAAGAGATCTGATTCAAAAGTTTTCTGTTTAAATTAGGAATCATGAAAATTATGTTTCTAGGCAAATTTTCATTCTAAAATCAGTGACAAGAAATGGTTAAATTAGAAAAATATCAGCAGTAAACAAAATAAAAGCGGTACATTTATTACAGGTTATTTAGAAAAGCAAATTTATGAATCAATGAACTTCTAAGAGAACAATTAGCTGTTTTTCGAATGTGTGAAATATTCGTATCTCACAAATTTGCTCTTCAAGATAATGATCCAGAATACGAATTTACTATTGAAATTAATTTTGTATAGATGAATTAGAGAATTCTTAAAATTAAATATTTTCATTAATAAACTTCGCTTCGTAGCGAAATCCTATTTTCAATATTAAACACCTCGTTTTCAGTCAAATATTATATGAAATCAGTTTGCATGAATATCATACTTCCTCCTTCCTGATATTGTTATGCTTTTCTGTATTCAAGTCAACATTATATAAGATACGTATTATAAATTTGGTTTGTTGTCCTTTGAGTATGTCTAAATTAGTTTTGTTTTCTTATTAAATGAATCCTACATGGTATTGAAACATTCATTATATTTTTTTAGGATCAACATGTAAATGAAGAAGAAGAGAAACGTAAACGAAAACCATACAGAAAAATTTTTGATGAATGCCCACTAACATTCAATGGAGCATATGGTCTTACTAAAGCAAATCATTCTATTGAATTTTGTGAACATGGAAAAACTCGTCAAATCGAATTATATTTCCATTTCATTCGCAAGCATCGATTAAAAAAAGTTTATGCTCAACGTTTGGTACGAGCTGTTGTCGATGATCAAGATCCTAGGGTAACAAAATTATTTGATGGAAATGAAAATGTAATTGATGAATTTCATAAAGTCCCATGTCCCTTTTTTTATGGACAAATTAATTCATCAGAATATACTCTACAAAATATAGTAACTGCACCATGTCAACATCGATTAGTTACACTTCATAATTTCAAACAACATTTACGACTTAATCATAAGATTTCAAATTCGTTGGCACAAAAATTAGTTGATGGTTTCAAACAAAATCAAACAAAAAATGATATTGATTTGACTCCATTAATTTCATCAACATCATCAAAATAACAGAAAATCTTAAAATTGTTTTCATTGATGTTTGTCTCGTTTTTTTTTCTTGTTAATAAAAATAAAGAATTCAATGATTTGAAACAGATATTTAAGTTATTCTTTGTTATTAGTGTTTGATGAGATTTTTCCCGTTCAAGCTAATGAGTCGATAATAGAAAACTAACGAGAAAACATATGCTTTTGTTGAAGACCCCTCGTCCTCATGCTATGACTACGGGTAGGTCTCAGAAAGACTAGGTTAAAAGATTCCATGGTCTTCTGATAAACAATCATGACTATTGTAATGAAATTGTTCTTGAGACCAATCAAGAAAATGATCAGGTCTTTCTCGATGTATTGGATTTTCATTCAAGCTGACTCGATTACTGAGGCCTTTCATTGTAAATCGCTGGTTCTTTTGAATATTGAAAATTTCAAGAAAGACATATTCGTCTTTCGTTGTACATTTTAAGACTATCAAGCTTACTTATAAGCAAAATTTTACATCAAAACTATTTGTTTGAAATTTTTTCGAAAATGCTTCTCTCGGTGGAATTTTTATTAAAAAAGTCATCATTGTTTATGTTTATCAGTAGGTCATGGGTGTGGGTGTGGATTAAGAAAATATTCAAACAGACACGCACACCCTTTGTTCATATATGTCAGCATCTAAACTGAGATTATATCGAAATTTAGAATAGATATGTTCAGTATCAGATGATATAGATACCATGCATTAAAACTTGAATTAGTCTGTAGATCGATGTCGGATCGAGATTTGTTTTTTAATGAACTGTAATGAAGTAGTGAAACTTCAATTAATACAATTAGAAATGAGCGAAACAATGTAAAGATTTGAGCAGTTATGGACAGTTGTCTATTGAAGCAGTTCTTGTATTCAAACTTAACTGATCTATTGATGATGGTATGAATTGAAATGCCATTGTTTAATCATAATTCACTAATAAGAATCCGGATTCAACATCGGTTTACAGAATTATTCTAACTTTAACACATACGATAATCTACGAAATCCATTTGAAACAAATTTGATTTTAGGACACTTTTCCATAATATATATATATATACCCTCGAAGTAGATATGTCCATCTCTATTCGTAAAATGAATGTTCGCTGATTTTTAGAATTTTCTTTAATTAATTTTTATGTCTTAGTCAAGATTGAATGCATACCATCTTGAATTGAATACAAAATGGAAATACACAAAAGTTATATTAAGCTTACAAACAGAATCAAAGTTCAATAAATAGTAAAACGAACTTTTCTAAACACAAATATTATATAATTTATCAATAGATCATGTTGAACTTATCACAATACAATATCAGTCAATTTTACTATTGATTTCAATGTAAAGATCATTTTGATTTTATGTTCATACTCAATGTATCACTCTACTTGTTCTCCACATTTATCGCTTGAAATGATACCAGACAGATGTATGATGAGCATTTGTCTGACGACAAGAAAGATTATACTCAGGAATTTCAATTTGTGCATCAATCATTATCTTATATTTTATGAAGACTTTTGAAATAGAAAGAAATTATACGATTTTTAAGATAAATCCAATGAATTAATTAGAATATTTTGATTTCATTTCATAAGAGTTTTAGAAGAGTGCATCTATTTTCTTGTCATTAATTAGTATAAAATCTTAAAAATAAATTACTCTACTACAATCCTTTTTTCACGTAATCAGCTCTCGATAAGATTAATGAATCATTAAAGTAGTTCGTTGTTCAGATATGATGAACATATTTATCAAAGATAAAATAATTTTCTTCATTATTATGGTTTCTATTCATGCCATTTATTCAAATAAGAATATGATATCAAGCAAAAAGCACTATTGCTAACAGTGTATGTCTGAAATAGTATCGCTTTTTCTAGTTAAATTGCGATTGTCGATGATAAGAAAAAAGCAAATGGTGATGTCTGTTAATGAAGTCAAAAGTAAGGTTGAAACAATGGTAGTAAATCATCGCTTTATAAGCTATGTTAAGCTAGATCTCGATGCTTGGTTTTTAGGTTTTTATTTAATGTGCAAAATAGAATTTAAAGATGAGTCAGTTTGTGATCGAATTGGTCTTTTGTGTCATAGTTTTTCATTCAAAAATACTTTCACAAACAACCACTGCGTCGAAAAAAACAAAATGAAAAACAAGAAAAAGAAGAATGAAAAGTGGAATGCATCATTTGATGCATTGGCACATTTGTCTTAGAAGAAAAAATATTGCGCTATCAAAAAGGAAGTGATATATTCTTTTTTCGATTTACTATATAATCTAGCAAGATTGATTGAAATTAGTAAGAACAACACAATGTACATTCTGTACGTTTTTTCTTTCTTGATCATCGGTGTTGCCAGCAAATGCAGCCGTAGTCAAACAGAAATCAATGAAGGAATACGTCTATGTTGCTATTATGATACGAAAGGTATTCCAACCATCGGCGTTGGTTTCAATCTACAACGTTCGGATGCAGCCAAAATTATGGTCAAATATAAACTGAACTTGAATGATGTTCTCAACGACTGTAAACAGTCTACGAAGAAAGCTTGTCTCACTAACGCGCAAGCAACTGACATTTTCAGCAATAATATATATCAAGAAGCCAGTCGGTGTGTCTCAAGGTACGCTCCGGGAATGCCAACAAGTGTTCATGCGGCTTTGACTGATGTTGCCTTTGCTGGATGTGGCACACTCAATCAATTCATAACTATGAAAGCAGCATTGAACAAGAAACAGTGGAAGACAGCTAGTGATGAATTAAGAAATTCCAAATGGTGTAGAGATGTGAAATCGACACCATGCAGACGTAATGTAGCTTGCATTGCGTCAGGAAAATAAACTTTTTATTTTTAATCTATACTTATGATGAAGACAAAAGAAATTTCCAAGTTTTCAATATAAAACTATGTCATTTTTTTTTCGTGATCTCTACTGATGCAACGCAAATATGAAAATACAAATGATTTTTCATTTTCAGTCACTATCTATCAAATGATTCACTGTTTTGCTACGAAAGTTCACAACAAATGGATTGTTTCTTATCTTTCGTAGGTTGAGAGGAAAGATAAGAAATATAAAGTAAATCAATAATGAATAATGGCCGCGAATAAGATACAATAAAATAAATAATTCATAAAGAAATATTTTTGAAAATTCTAATGGATGTCGTCATTCACAATGGAAAATTCCTTGATTGAGGGTGTGGGTGTGGATATGGGCGTGGGTATGGGTATGAATGTGAGCGTGAGTGGTGCGGTCTGCGGGAGTGGATGTCGATGGTAATACGTGTAATTCACACTCACACACCCACATCCATCTACATTAAAGTTTTCTCACATAGCATTTCTACTGTATTGAAAACAAATGGGACAGTGTCAATAAAATACAAGTATTTACTTACGTTCAAGTGCTTGTTATTCTGTGTTTTTGAGTATATTTTGTTTTTTAAATAAGTATATCAAAGAGTAAGAAAAGTACGGAAGAAAATCAACACCTTGTTTTTTGTTGCATGATAAGAATAGAATGTTCTATGCAAAATTCAGATACCAAATCATGAACTATTTCATTATTACTTGGTTTCTACATGTTATGCTATATTCGATTATTCAAATTCATAGTATTTAGAACATTAAATGCTAGTAGTACTGTTATGATATGCATTAATATGCTGACGCTGAGGTGTTTGATTTAATTTTGGTGGCATCCATGTTACTGGATCTTCTTCGACCTTTATTATTCAATCCAACATGTATACATTGAATTTCTTTGATTTGTGGTAAATCAAAAAGATGCATGGTAGAAAAAGCCATTTGACTTCAGCATCGAGTGCAAGGCGAGAATTTTGTAGTGGTGTACTTGCAATATCAACCAGACAAGAAGAGAGCACAGAAATATCGACGCAAGTATACAAGAATTTTCATTAATATTCTATAAATCTAAATTTCACGCCCATCACATGATTGTTTATCATATGTTTAACATAGTCATGTATGTTCAGTAGAGTATTAGAGACGTTTATGTTGTGTTATTTGTTTATTTTTTCAGAAAAGCCTATATAAAGTTGTCTCTAAGGGAGATATTTATAATGCACTATAAACAAGACAATATATTTTGACTTGTGATGTATACTGAATAATAAAATAACACTTTAAGATAAGGTTATTTACCGTGAGATAACTTCGAAATACGGCATAGGTTTGCGCCATCATGCTCACATCTAGCATTTATTCTATCGAGATATGGGTAGAGCCATACCGTTTGCACTCATGATAGTATTATTGTGCTTCCTTGATACTGTGAATGTGCTAGGCGAATATAAAGTTGCTTAAAATAGTAATTCGGTCATTTTTTAGTTTAAGTGCTTGAAATACCTAGTAATTATGTATTACAACCGATTGTACGGCGAGAATCCCGTTAAAAATGTCGAACCACGCAAATGGTGGCAACACCCTCGACTGAAGATCATCTGTATATCGTTGATCGTTGTGATAGTAGTTGCAATTATCCTCTCTCTCTGGTTCTAAAATTCGCTATTCTTGCAAGAAAAAATCCGGAAACTACCACCACACCAATACTACCACTAACAACCACAACAAGAAGAAGAAGAACAGCAACAACCACATCAACGTCAACAATAACTACGACCACTACTGAACAGTCAGGTGAGCTTTACAGTAACTTTCCTTAATATCCGTAAATGCTACTTTAAAATTCAATACACATACTGTTGCTCTACATGTAGCGATTCTCTGTATCTCACGAAAGATTCCACTGTAAGGATATCAGTAATCTTGTCATAAGTAATTCAATATGGATGATAGGAAACAATCAAGTAATTGTAATTCTTATGTTGATTGCTTCTCGTCTTGATCAAAGTTTACTTCATTTGGTAGATGTCTACACAACGAAATTCGTTCTTCGACTCTGTTTGATTTTACTATAAATCCCACGTTAGTAAACAGATAAACACGTGAAAAGATGAAAAATGGATGACTCAGCTTTTAATGATCGTTTGAATATCTGATCAGCTATTAGGAGGCTGACGCTGCTCTTTGTTATAAAAACAAAGCTCGAACCATCAGAAAGTGAACAGCTGAGTGATTGTTTCGCAGATAGATAAGTTTTAAAGAAAGAAATAATAGCAACACTACTTCTAATGGATGATAATGACGACAAACATAATTCCAGTGCTTTTCCATGATTTTCATTAGCATAGTAATTGATCATTAGTATGTAATTGTAACTAATTAACAATCGTATGGTGATAGCCCTTTGTTGTTGATCTCTCATTGATTGTAATGAAATTTCTGTTTTCTGTGATTTCAAATACTTTTGCGTAATATCAAGTGATGTCTGAGATTTTAAGAACTAATAAAAAATGATTGAAAATCAACCACAATCGTTGGATCAAGAAAAATGAATAAAAATTATTTTCAGTGAAAGGATAGTAAAAACAATCGATCTATATTTCTCAGAGACTTTAGAGGATGCTCGTTGTTTTTCAGTAGTTTTCATCAGCTACGTCGTCGAGATCAACTTTGGAGTAATTCAAATCACATATCTTTACTTTTAGTATTATAGTAATGCTTAATCGAAGCAATCCTTCAACACTTCGATATTTTTTCTCTTTTATTATAGTCAGTTCGTTATCAATTACAGTTGTGTAATTTTATCCCACTCTAAACATATTTGCATAAGTAAAACGGGATGAATTTGTAAAAAAAAAAACTTGCTTATAAATCCAAGGTACCAAATGCAGCGACAAGTAGAAAATACCAACTTAATTAATCATTTATCTATCCATATAATTTTTTATCCAAAGTACGGAGCCTACTACTTTACTATTTCACGAACGACTTCTTCCAATAAATTAAAGACTTATACAGGATCCAAGAAACTCTGAAAATCTTCTATTATAAATATTAAACGACTTTCATTGTGCAAAATCTAAAGATATTCGCAATATGAGTAGACAATATCTTGATCATTCAAGAGAAGCAATTGTATAAGAATAAAATATTCAAGTATTTTCATCTAGAATGGTCTAAGACTTGTAGCATGCATCGTGCACGACGGGATCATACAGCAGCCGTATTAATAAATGGAGAAGTATTAGTTGCTGGTGGATTTAACAATGGTGCAATCAACAATGCTGAACTGTATGATCCATCAACAGAAACATGGACAACTATTAACAGTATGAATGATGCGCGAGGTGAGCATACAATATCCGTACTAACGAATGCAAAAGTGCTAGTGACCGGTGGACTTGGTTATCGGGGTTTTCAGAATAGTACCGAGTTATATGATCAATCAACAGGCAATTGGACGAGGATGGGGTGTGGGTGTGGGGTGTGGGTGTGGGTATAGGTGGGTGTTCATATTTCTTCCACACCCACACCCACACCCACACCCACACTCCACACACACCCCACACCCACACCCCACATCCACACCCACACACACCCCACACACACACCCCACACCCACACCCCACACTAGAGGTCTGCGGTTCCGCAAAATCTGGAACCGAGAACCGAACCGGAACCGCTTTTTAAAAATTTCTCAGAACCGGAACCGGACCGGGAACCGTAAAAAAAATTCCCCAGGAACCGCTAAAGGAACCGGAACCGTTCTCCTGTTGTATGACTGCCGACATCGAGTTTTTTCAGAAGAAAATTTTTATTAAAATGATGCACCATGCATATTACACAAGACCTAATGTTATTCTTGAGTTGGGGATGCGAGTCTTCTATTCTGCAACATACTACAGGCATAACCATATCTAATGAACTCCAAGTCACAGCCACACTCGGATAACTAAACGGTTCCGCGGTTCTATGGAATATTTTTGGAACCGAACCGGAACCGCTATTTTTGAATCATGGGGAACCGGACCCGGAACCGCGGTTCCGGTTCCCGGTTCGGTTCCGGGTAATTTTTGGAACCGCAGACCTCTACCCCACACACACCCCACACCCACACCCCACATCCACACCCACACACACCCCACCCACACACCCCACACCCCCACCCACCCCCCCCACCCCCCCCCCCACCCCCCC